AAATTGTTTGAATTGACTCAACAGGTCACTTACATTTCCTTTTAAAAGGGAATTTTTTATTATAGACAAGCAGACATCATAAGCGAAGGTATTATTAAGATGGTCTATGTAATATTTTAAGAAGAGAATTTATGCTCAAATAAATAACATCTCGGAAGATTTTTAAAATATTTTTAGCATATATTTCGAATGAGATATGAAACGAGTTCTCATTCAATTTCGTAGATCAATTCCTATATATACAGGGTGTTCCAAAAATCCGGCGGAAAAAAAATTTGAATATCTCCCTTACGGCTCGAGCAAATGAGCTGATTTTTTGTTTATCAATGATAGAGGCATGTTCAAAGTTTATATCCATAAAGACATGCCTAGAGATTCTCTTTGCTAAGTACCACTATTGGTCTTAACGAAAAAAGTTTACTTTTTCACAGATAGGAAAAAAAATAATATACTTAACAAAGGATCCCTCTAAGCATGTCTTTATGAATATAAAGCTTGAACGTACCTCTATCATTGATAAAAAAATCAGTTCGTTTGTCAGAGCCCTAGTGGAGATATTCAATTCTTTTTTTCGGCAAAGTGACTTTTGCGCCACTCTGTGTATCGTTTTTTTCCTATCTGTGAAAAAGTAATATTTTTTTTGTTGAGACCAATAGTGGTACTTTATAAAGAGGATCTGTAGGTATGTCTTTATGGATATAAACTTTGAACGTGCCTCTATCAATGATTAAAAAAATCAGCTCATTTGCTCGAGTCGTAAGGGAGAGATTCAAATTTTTTTTCCGCCGGACTTTTGGAACACCCTGTATTTGTTCATGCTTCTACACAGATATGTTAATAAATTTTACGTAAGTAAAGTTAGCACCAGATTTGAGTATTTCTTGTCCATATTCGCTTTCTTACCTGTACTAACTCTCTAAGCGCTTGTGCTAGGTGCAGAATTTAATGCTCTGTCGAATGGTAGTACTTTAAAGGTGGGTCATCGGGCAAAAACCATAACTTTTCCCCGAAATACTGACTTTTCTCCTGTGTATCAATAACAAACATCCTGTATGTTATTGAGGTAACACTTGATGATTATGCCATCTTCCAATAGTCTTCTTTTCTACATGTGGCATGGCCGTCATTCTTTGTACAATTGTTCAACGTCCGCCATGATCATCATCCTTTGTACTATTGTTCTATCCACATATGAATACACACTTCTTCATTTTTTGGGATAAATAAACTGTATAACCAGTGCTAACAATTGGTGCATCAAGCCGGCTTCTTAAATTCCAAGAAGTATTAATTCGTATGGTATTAACTCGAAGCGGTTTAGATTTGTCAAAACGAAGCTACTATCAAGTAATGCCTGATCAAAGAGAAGAAGAAAAGCTGGCTCATTCAAGTATGTCAAACTCAAAAATTAATATGACTGATTTGTACAATGCAAACGTATCATGTCAATCAACTAAATCGGATTTATCAACAGCCACTATTGGTTCCTCACCTCTCATTTCTACTGATGCAAAAGAAACCAAAATTATTGCATTACCAGAACTCGATAGTGACACATCAAATACTATGACTGTTCCACCACAAACTCTATCGACATGTCACTTAATGAATAACAATGAAGATAAAGAATTAGCTCGAATTCCTTACTATAATGGA